ACCTTACAGGAAAACCCCCATATATAAAACGGTAGCATTATAGTTGTACTACGGGTGTACTTTGCAACCGTTGTGAATTTGCGCTCCGTGCTATGCAGTATTACTACAGTAGTACTTTATAGGGGTTATTAGGTATAATAGTTATAAAGCTTACAACGGATATAATATCGCTAGTTATAAGTAAATCAACCGTCGATATTTATAGCTAGATAACTTTGTAATAACGGATTTATATATCGACGGTTGTTTTACTTATAACTAGCGATATTTGTATCCGTTATAAGCTTTACAGCCGTTCTATTAATTTGCAACCGTTGCGCAACCGTCGTGTAACCGCTATACAACCGTTGCGCATTTTATAACTAGCTATATCTACGTACGCACCCCTAGGTAGGTACGTATACAACGCTAAGACTCTGAATGCCCTTAATGTGAGGGTTAGAACCCATAGTGGGGCTCGGGCCAAGAGCCCTCGCTAAGCTAAGCGACCCCGCCTCTGGAACGCCATGGAATAAGATAGAATGCTATGACGCAGAAGATTGGTTATACTATGGAACAGTGTCGAATGCAATGGAAATGCTACATTTAGTATAAGAGTAGAGGAGGAACATGTATTTACAGACCACGTAGTTCTTAATTGAATATTGAACCCACACCTTTGAGTTGTTCGAGGTCTGGCCTCTCACACTTAATTAAAGAAGGCACCCACCTGCCTACCTACCTACCTGCGCATCACCTAGGCCGTCGTACCCGACTAAGGTACCGACGTACGACTATAGCTAGAGTGCGCCTATATGATACACGCGGGTGAACTTTACCTAAATCGATCGAATCTACTACTTATTTACTTATAGCGTTAAAAACTAGACTCTCCTACACTTCCAAGCACTTATATATAGACCTCCGAGGGATATCTGTGGGGAGCCTGCTTCATAGGATTTTTATAACCGTCGCGCAACCGTTGTACAACTGTTATAAAATCTATAACGGTTATAAACGCTATAATAGATATATAGCGGTTATAAAGTAGTAACCGATGTAAATCCTATAACCGCTCTATTCTACAATAGTTATACTTAGAACAACGGTTATATATTAAGCTAGTTACTCTATTTACGATAGTTGTAAGGATTAACTAGCGTAATACGGTTAATTAAGATAACTATCTTATTTGCTAACTAGTTATAATATATAACTAGTTGCAACTTATAACAGTATTAGTACGGCTGCAAATTTTTACAACGGTTATAAATTTCACAACGGTACTACTACGGATTGTAAAAGGGGGGTTTTCCTCTAAGGTATGCGAGGGAGGGGCGACGGCGAGGG